ACCACCTGGGAAACTTCGATTGAGTTTCCAGCTCTTGGCACTTGGGAAGTGAACAAAGGATGGGAGCTCTCTCTCTCTCTCTCTCTCTCTAATAAATAAAATTTTAAAATTAAAAAAAATTGTATACAACTAGTATCTTCTGAAATATTTTATTCATGAAATTTAAAATATGGAAATGAAAAATGCCACTGGGAAGATAAAATTTGAATTGAAGAATTAAAAGATAAAGTTGAAGAACAACGTACTAGAAATAAAAACACACAACAGAACAAGCAGAAACGAAAAATGAGAGAAACAGCAGAGACCTAGAGGACCGCGGCACAGGGGCCAACAGTGGGCTGGATTAATAAGAGTTCTCCTGGAGAGAGCAGAGGCAAAGGTGAGGAGGACATTTCAGATGATGTGACGTAAGCAAACTTGCCAAGACAGAGGAGAAGCCTTCAAACTGAAGAGGTTGACTGATTTCCCGCAAGAAACCCACTCCCATCCTTGTGGAGTTCAGGACACTCTGATTAAAAACACAAGACCTGAAAAACTTCCAGAGTCTAAAGGAAAAAGGCAAAAAAGGCCACTCCCAAGGGTGGCGGGTCCAGTTGAATCAGATTCTGAACAGCAATGCTAGAATCTTGAAGAGTGTGGAGGAATCGATGCCTTTACATTTTTGCATGAAAATTATTTCCCCCTAGAATTCTATATCACAAATACCAATTAAATATGAAGAGAGAAAAAAGACATGCCAAGAATTTTAAAAATGGACCTCCCAGGGGCCGGTGCTGTGACGCAGTGGGTTAAAGCCCTGGCCGGAAGCGCCGGCATCCCATATGGGCACTGGCTCTACTCCTGGCTGCTCCTCTTCCGATCCAGCTCTCTGCTATGGCCTGGGAAAGCAGTAGAGGATGGCCCAAGTCCTTGGGCCCCTGTATCCCCTGGGGAGACCCAGAGGAAGCTCCTGGCTCTTGGCTCCTGGCTTTGGATCGGTGCAGCTCCAGCCGTTGTGGCCATCTGGGGAGTGAACCAGCAGATGGAAGACCTCTCTCTCTGTCTCTACCTCTCTCTGTAACTCTTTCAAATAAATAAAATAAAAATTTTAAAAATGGACCTCCGTGGTCCTTCTCTTAGGAAGGTATTGGAGACGCATTCCATCAAAATGAGTAAACAGAAAGAGGGAAGGATGGGCTGCAGAAAGCAGGAGAGGAGAGAAGGTGGGACGAGGGTCAGTGGCTGGCAGGAGGCCTCCCCGCAGCCAGTCCCCAGGGGCTGGAGGGTGGCGACAGATCTGAGTATTGGTGCTACAATCTGCAACTAGTGTCAGGAAAGCTTTGTCAGATCTGTGGGACCTTTGAGAGCCATCAGTGATGAGTACCTGCCACACGAGCAAATGAACACAACCAACACAACTGTGCAGTCTAGGAAAACAGGAAGTCGTGCAAGAGAGGAAACTTCATCAGATTGCAGAGCTGGTGCTGATTCGCAGATACACATTTCTGCGTTTTCCCGAGTCTCAAATCAGGACGTGTCTCGCAGTCGCTCTTGGCCAGACTGTAGTCCTGAGGGAGCCGTTACTGCCTGTGCAGGAATGAACTTGATCATGATTCCTGGGATTCTGATCACAACAGTGACTACTTGACATTTCAGTGCACAAAACACTGTAGGATCTTGTTCGGAAGCAATCTGGCCCTGATTGATCACCCAGCTTTCTGTGGGCACTTTCTGGTAAAATCAAGAAAGTGCTAGCACCTGAACTTGCAGAATGGGGTCAGTGCCTTGGAAGAAAACCATGGGGATGAGAGTGGACATCTCTGTAAGGATGACTGCACTGGGACTGGTGTTGTGGCACAGTGGTTAAGCCACCACCTGCAACACCACCTTCTGCAATGCTAGCATCCCATAGGGCACTGGGTTCAAGTCCCGGCTGCTCCACTTCTGATCCAGCTCCCTGCTAATGCACCTGGGAAAGCAGTGGAAGATGGCCCAGGTCCTCAGGCCCCTGCATCCATGTGGGAGACCCCAGATGGAGTTCCTAGCTCCTGGCTCCTGGCTTTAGCCTGGCCCAGCCCTGGTCATTGCAGCCATTTGGGGAGTGAACCAGTGGATGGAAGATCTCTGTCTCTCCTCTCTCTGTAATTCTGCCTTTCACAGAAACAAATAAATCTTAAAAAAAAAAAAAAAGAATTACTGCATTGCTGACTGACAGCTGGGTGGTTCAAAGAGTAATACTCTAAAATAACAAGCAAGCAAGCAGTAAAAAAAACTGAGTAGAAAAGTGGTTGAGCAGAGATCGGCACTGAATTCACAGAAGGTTTAAGGATACTTAATTTTGCTTCCATTTTTCCTTTTTATGCACAAGATTGATATGTGATAAAATATATGTTTAAATATGAGCATTTCGATAAGTTGACATTAAAAATTTAAATAATAAGAAAGTTTGATTGACAGCAAATTTCCTTTTTGTTAGAAATCGACAGAGTCTTAGATTCAGTGAAGTCTGTCGTACTAGCTAGTAGCAGTAAGCATTGTTTCCAGATTTGCAACAGTGTAAATTGCTGTCTTGATTTTAATTTAAAATAATCATAATCAGAGGTTGGGAAGGGAATATGTCTGTATGCTTTGGGGTGGGGACAATGGAGATGGGCCCGTGGGGAAATATTCACCTCTGTAACGGGAAGTTAAAAGATGATGGCTAACACTGAAGCAGAGTTTTGAGAAATTGGTTTAAACACTCACACACACTGCATTTGGCACAGTTGTTAAGCCACTGCTTAGGATGCCGGCTTTCCACGTTGGAGTGGCTGCTTCAAGTCCCAGCTCCTCTGCTTCTGATCCTGCTTCCTGCTAATGCACACCCTGGGAGGCAGCAGAGGATGGATCAAGTACTCGGATCCCTGCTGGAGGGAGAGCTGGGTGTCCAGTCTTCTGCATGGCTCAGTCCCAGCTGTTAAAGGCATTTCAGAGTGAACCCGCAGATGGCGGAAGGAAAGTCTCTCTCTCTCCCCTTCAAATAAATAGAAAATAAATTAAAAAAATTTTTAAAAACAGCACCCAGAGAACCAGTCAACAGAATTAAAAGTTTCCTTGGGAGAAGGGGTTGGGGGATGGGAGGAGTGGGCTGTCAGGGTTTCTATTAATACAATTTGCACATGGCTTCACTTTTAAAATTCATCACTACTTTGATTAAAAAACACTTTTAAAAATAAACAAAGCTTCAAAAAGCTCATTCTGTGTTGTTATCATTATAAATATATGTACGCTTTTCAGGCCATATGGTCTAACTTTTGGTTCAGGACATCTGCTCACTGTGTGAGGCTGTAGGGTATGGCAGGAAGTGCTGAGCTCTCCACGTGTCTGGTTTGGGGTTGGTTGCTGGTGAGCTGTGTGGCCTTGGCCAAATGGCTCAACCTCTCTGGGCTCTAGTTTTCTCTCACTGGTTGCTGAGAGGATAGCAGAGCAGGTGTCAAGACCCTGGCACGGTGCCTGTCCTGCTGTTGAGCTCAGGATAACTTTAACTGCTTTTTTTTATTGGACACAAATGCCTGCTCCCTTAGGACCAAGGCTGACCCCTTCAACCTGCCCCTGTGCTCAAGGACCCCAAGGCCCGAGAGGTTCCTTTGCCCATGCAGTAATCCCTGCGGTGCCACTTCCCAGCCCAGAGCCTTCAGCCTGGGTGTGAGCAGGGTGCGTGGCTCCCTGCTCTTTCTTTGGCCCCTAGAGACTTCATCTTTATGCCCCACTCCCATGCCAGGCTCAGCCTGGGCGCTGACAGGTCCTGAGTATGACCAGGCTCAATTGCACCTGCCCCAATGAACCCCGAGCTTCTGTGGCCTGACCAGGGGTCATTTGCTTTTCTCTGAGGTCTGGGAAAAGCAGAGGCCTGGGCTCCAGGCTTGGCCTGGTGGGATGAGCCCAGTCTGCTCACAAATCTGATGGACAAACTTGTCATGTAGCTCCTGAATCCAGTGTCTACAGGAGTCAGCCCATTCCCCAAAGCAGCCATCCCCGGGTGTGGTCTGCTGCTGCCCGGAAAGCAGAGAGCAGCCTGGTCGCTGCCTCCCCTCCGATGCCACCAGTCCCCGCGCTGCTCTGCAGGCAGTGGTGGCCCAGCTGGAAGCTGCTCTGAGAGCAGTGGAAAGCAGGTGGGCTCCTGTGTACCTGTGTGAACGGGAGCACTGCCTGCTTAGGGCTCATTCTCCCAGGACAGAGAGCCGCTCCTGTTGATCCATGTGACCAGAAACAGCAAATGAGCCACCTGGGGCGCCTGACCCTGCTGGGCTGGGAAGGCGGCACTCCTCCCTTCCAACAGAGGACAGAGAACGCATGAAGGAGAATTGCGTAGAGGGGACAGCCCCCTCCTGATGCCATGGGCATAGCAGCACACAGCACTGTCCCTCTGGTCCCTGAGGGAATTCCGCATCCCCAAACACAGTGTCTCTGACAGCCTGAGTGGTGCTGCGAGGGAACAAGAGGGGACTGCGGATGCCTTGGGGGCAGGGCAACAGGTAGGAAAGACTGGGAGACAGAGGGACAAGTCCTACATGGCCTCGGAAGCTGGGGGTAGGGAGGGGAGGGCTGTGGTTCCGGTCCCTGCTCCATGATCCTCCAGCCGCGTGCCCATCAGGGAGTCAGTCGCGAAGCCCATGTTGCCTTGTGTGACCTTGCAGGGCTGTCCTGGGACAATTGCATGCCGGGTACCCAAGGTTTGCAAAGTGTAGCCTTTCTCCAGGGACGCTCTCCCTGCCTCCGATGCTTCTGAGGGTCATGTAGCACATAAAAGACCCACTCCCTGTCTCCTGATCAGCACCAGGGGTGGGGGTGGGGCGTTGCAGGCCCCCCAGGCTGGCCTAGGGAGGGAGGCTGGGGAAGTCCAAAACAGGGTGACGTGAGGGCACTGCTGCTCCAAGCAGGAGGGGCAGGCTCTGGGTAGGGAGAGCAGGCAGCCCTCGAAGGGCTCTGACCTGCAGGCCACCCTGGCACCGCCACGTCACATCTGTGTCTTCCTCCCACAGGCCACGGAGTGGGCCTCCAACGAGGACACACGCCGCTCCTGCCAAAGCAAAGGCAAGACCGAGGTATGTGGCTTGGAGTTGGCAAGGCCTGTGGTCGTGGGGAGGGAGGGGCAGAGTGTGGGCCTGAGGTCCCCTGCCCCGGATGACTGGGGGTGGGTGTCACAGGCCTGAGCGTCTGAGCTGGCCCCACGAGGGGATGTCCAGACACAAGCTGACTCCCTGGGCAGACTGGCTGTGGGCCGAGGCTTGTGTTGGAGGATGTGCACCTGCACAGTGAGGGGCGGCCCCCAGCCCCAGCCCCGGGAGCCGCGCCCTCGGTCACCTGGCTTCGCCCCTCAGGAGGAATGTCAGAACTACGTGCGAGTCCTGCTTGTCACCGGCCGGAAGGTGTTTCTGTGCGGGACCAATGCCTTCTCCCCGCTCTGCACCAGCAGACAGGTGGGCAGCTCAGGGTGGGACAGGCGGAAGGGGACACTTGGGGGCTTCTCTCATCTAGTCACACAGCTTTGGCATGGCATTGCAAAGTCAGCAAAAAGCAAAACAAAACAACAACAACAAAAAAAGCAACCAAAGCCAAAACAGAAAAAGGATGCCTGGGACAGGTGTTGGGGTGCAGTGGCTTAAGACACCACTTGGGACACCTGCATCCCACATCAGAGTTCTGGTTTGAGTCCCAGCTGCTCCACTTCCCACGAAGCTCCTTGCTAATGAGCCTGGGAAGCAGCAGTGATTGCTCAAGTGGATTGGTCCCTGCCACTCACATGCGAGACCTGGATGGAGTTCCTGGCTCCTGGCTTCAGTCTGTCCCAGCCCCAGTGTGGCAAGCATTTTAGGGAGTGACCAGTTAAGGGAAGTTATCTCTCTGTCTTTCTCTCTATTGCTCTGCCTTTCCAAAATAAATAAATAAATAAATAAAACTCTTTTTTAAAGATGCCTAGATTTCAATTCCAGAGAAACAACAAATGATATTTTAGCCTAAGTATATCATACGCATCATCTGAGACAAAGTTATACTAGAACATTATTCTTTGTTCATCTCCAGTTCACACTGCACTGGGCCTCCTGTATCTTACTGGTCTACCTTATCAGCAGTGGTTCTGACTGGGGAGAAGATGGAGCTGACATGACCATGCCCTCCATGAAGGCTGCTCCCTCCAAGGGATGGGGTTGGGGGCAGCGAGGATGGTGGGGGAGGAGAGAGGCGGAGAGAAACCAGGGACCCAGGAGGAAAAGAGCTGGCAGCCCCAGGGCCTCAGGGAATTGTCCCCTTCCCCCCTACCTCGTCGTCCCCAGGTGGGGAACCTCAGCCGGACCCTGGAGAAGATCAACGGGGTGGCCCGCTGCCCCTATGACCCACGGCACAACTCCACAGCCGTCATCTCCTCCCAGGGCGAGCTCTACGCCGCCACGGTCATTGACTTCTCCGGTCGGGACCCTGCCATCTACCGCAGCCTGGGCAGCGGGCCGCCGCTCCGCACTGCCCAGTACAACTCCAAGTGGCTCAATGGTAAGGAGGTCCCCCCCGGGTCTGTCTCTGCGGGGCTATTCTGTCCCCCCTACTGCTTTCCCTCCCTGCCTGGCCTCTGACAGGGCTCACACTTGCTCCAGGAAGCAGGAAGGGGTCCAGAGCAGGGCAGATGTCTGCCCAAAGCCCAGATGAGCCCCAGGGAAATCCCAGCCATCCCAGGGGCATGGGACAAGGGCCAGAGGGAGGCTGTCAGAGGGAGAGAGCTTTAGGGGTTGGCTAGGGGAAAGCATATGGAAGAGAGGGGGCTAAGAGGAGCGTGGCGGAGTTGGAGTTTTCTGCTCCTTCGGGTCGAATCCTTCTCTGCTGACGGGCTGTGTGCCCAAGCAGGTGCCTGACCTCCCCGTGCTGTGATGGTGTCGTCTGTAATACGGGTGCAGGTTGTTGTGAGGACCCAATGGGTTGATCCGCAGGGCGCACTGGTACTCTGAAGCACAGGTGGACGGTGCTGCAGCTGCCCTTGGGGCTGCGAGAGCCCCCAGGTCACCACGCAGGGAAAACGGAAGTCCTGGCGTCCTCCTGACTCCGCCCCCTTCCTCCCTGCCGGCCTGACCCACCCCTTGTGCCTCTTCTGCCCCCCACCCCCACCCCCACCCCAAGAGCCAAACTTCGTGGCAGCTTATGACATCGGGCTGTTTGCCTACTTCTTCCTGCGGGAGAACGCAGTGGAGCACGACTGTGGGCGCACGGTGTACTCGCGCGTGGCGCGCGTGTGCAAGAACGACGTGGGCGGCCGCTTCCTGCTGGAGGACACGTGGACCACTTTCATGAAGGCGCGGCTCAACTGCTCCCGCCCGGGCGAGGTGCCCTTCTACTACAACGAGCTGCAGAGTGCCTTCCACCTGCCCGAGCAGGACCTCATCTATGGCGTCTTCACCACCAACGTGTGAGTCCCTGCCCCCTGCATGGCATCGGCATCCGTCGGGTCCGACGGCAGCGCGCTCTGGCCGGGCCCTCTCCCAGCCCTTCCATCTTTGTCTATAGCGGCAGCCCTCACGGAATCTGGGGCAGGGATTCCAAGCTCAGCACACCACGATTTTGCTAAATCTAACCCTCAGAGTGCTCTGACTACCCAGCTGTCCTCTCCCGTCTACACTGCGGGAGCAAGACACAGGCAGGGCATTAGAGCCTGTGTTTCCTGAGTGTGGGGAAAAGCGACCCCCCCCCTCGAGATCACAACACCTTCCTCCCTGGACAGAGGCTAACCCATGTGGAGGATTGTCATCCGGATGGGCCCAGGGAAAGCGTTTGCTTACGGCACACTGTTTGGAGTTCCCCGTGAAGACCCCAGAAACCTATGAGCCTTAGCGTGGTGCTTGCTGACCATGGGCCCCAGGTCGCAGGCTCTGGGTGAGGGCAGAGCAACTGCAAGCACGGTGTTGGGGCATGAGCAGGGTGAGAGGCAGGCTGGCACGTGGGCGCAGAGAGGCTGTCCAAGCTGCAGGCACAACCCACACAGGCCGTGGGCTGAGGACTGCCTGGCCGGGACTTGGCATGCCCAGCCCTTAATTCCAGAAGATGGGCAGTAGCGAGTAGCTAAGGGGGCATCAAGAGAAAATGGTGCCATCAGTGCGGGTTGGAAATAGTTCATTTATTGCACACCTGCTCCATGCCAGGTGGGCATCCTGTTGGGGGGTGGGGGGGTGGGAAATCAGTGAGCAAAGACAGATGTGACTGTGCCTTTAAGGAGCCTACATTCTAGAGTGGGGGTGGGTATTAAACTCTCATTTTTCATGGTGATAAATGCTACAAAGGAAAGGACATTAGGAGGAGATGCTCTAACAGCATGAAGGAAGTGACAGCTACAGGATGAGTGGGGATTAACCAGGGGAGGAGAGCAGTCTATTCCAAGGGGACAATGCATACAGCTCTTCGGGATGGGACAAAATGTTGCAGGAACTGACCAGTCTGGCTGGAGCTCTGAGGGTGAGGAGGAGACTGAAGGGGTAGGGCTGGAGGCACTATGTCCCAGGGACCTTGTAGACTGCCCTAGGGCTTTGATCTTTATCCAAGAGCAAGGAGAAGCTATCAGAGGGTTGGAAGCAGGCTGGACGTGCACTTGGAAGGTTCACACTGGCTGCTGTGTGAATGGATGAGCAGGCGGGACAGGCTGCCGGGAGACCACCATGATGACAATGCCCCATCCAGAAGGCATGGGAGGGACTGAGGTCACACAGCGGTGGAGAGAGCTGGACGACAGGCCGAGGCTAGAGCTGGCTCGCCGGGTGTGGCGCTGTCATCTCTCGGAGCCGTTCACATCGGGCTTGTGCAGACATGACTGGAGAGTCTCACAGCTGCTGGGCTCAGGGCCTTGCAGGCTATAGCACAGACCTGCAGTTTAGCAACCAGCTTTTCAGTTAACATCCATCAGAATGGAATGGAATCAAAATTTAGTAAGGGAAGTATTCTTTCACGAGACTTCAGTACAGAGCTGTGTGTATCGGGCTGAGCTGTGATGTGAAGGGGATTTCTTCCAGGAGCGGGGGTTCCAGGGGTTCTCTCCCAAGGCATTTGCAGATCGTGAGGCCCCCAGCTCCTCTCTGACTCCCCTCCAGTGCACCAGGCCCCAGGGCCGGTGGGTGGGCTTAATAAGCCTTGTGACAGCTGTAGAATTTCGAAGGAAGGTGCTGGGGTCCCCGGAGGTTGGGGGGGGGCGCATTCCACCATCTCTTGCCTTTCAGAAACAGCATCGCCGCTTCTGCCGTCTGCGCCTTCAACCTCAGTGCCATCTCTCAGGCATTCAATGGCCCATTTCGCTACCAGGAGAACCCCAGGGCTGCCTGGCTCCCCATCGCCAACCCCCTCCCCAACTTCCAGGTACCTCTCCGCCTCTGCCTCTCCCTTCACAACATTGCTTCTCCCTGCACTCCCCGGCCACAGCCAGTTCCAGCTGCTCAGTGCAGACCTGTCCCAGGAGGCCTTCACCCATCTGTGGGGTCTGCAATAATTCTCCAACAGGGTGGTAACTTCTAGGACCCTGAGCGAGGAGGAAAGAGTGGGCAGGAGGCATAACAGGGGCGCATACTCTGAGCCATCTCAAAATGTGACACCTGCCGGGAGGCAGGGAAGTGGGAACTCCATACCGCGTAGGGAGCCAGGACAGCCCTGAACGAGCTTCTGGAGTGTGCCTGCAGGGTGTCCAGCACAGGGCAGAGTGAGCATCCTCCTGCTCTGACGGTGAGGGAGGGGTTCGCCAGCGGGCAGAGGAGGCTGCTTCCCAGGTGCTGGTGCAGCGCTGAGAAAGAGCTCAGACTGTGCAGCCCCACGAAACAGCCCAGCCTGGCTCTGTGCGACCTGGGGCGAAGCACTCAACCCCCTTGGGCTAGGGAGAGCGCATAATGTCCTGCAGATGTGTGCAGTCTGACATGCACAGGATATGGGTGAGCCGCCCCCTTCAATTCCGACATCATGAGAACTTTGAGGTGGTAGGGACACAGGAAGAAGGCAGGGCTTGACCCCACCAGCCAAGACAGTCTTCACCTGTGACGTAACGTCACAGGGCACTAAGGGCCACACGATTGGTTACAGATAATCCAGTCTCCTCTGCTGTCCCCAGCCCTGGAAGTTCCCTTGTCTCTCGTCCCCAAGTTCACTTAGTTCCCAGGGAAGGGTGCAGGGGGACCCCGCAGGGAGGACACTGCGGGTGGGGGGCGTGGTCTGGCAGCCGCCCTGCCTGGGCGCATGTGACCCCGCTCCCGCCGCAGTGCGGCACCCTGCCCGAGACCGGCCCCAACGAGAACCTGACCGAGCGCAGCCTGCAGGACGCACAGCGCCTATTTCTGATGAGCGAGGCCGTGCAGCCGGTGACGCCCGAGCCCTGCGTTACCCAGGACAGCGTGCGCTTCTCCCACCTCGTGGTGGACCTCGTGCAGGCCAAGGACACGCTCTACCACGTGCTCTACATCGGCACCGGTGAGGCGGCCCGGCCCAGCCTGGGCTGCAGCGGGGTGGGGAGCAGAGGCAGGGCTGTGAGGTCCCAGGGGGCCCTCAGGGTCACCCTCGTCTGCCCCGCTCCTCTGCCTCCCCCCAGAGTCTGGCACCATCCTGAAGGCGCTGTCCACGGCGAGCCGCAGCCTGCGCGGCTGCTACCTGGAAGAACTGCACGTGCTGCCCCCCGGGCGCCGCGAGCCACTGCGCAGCCTGCGTATCCTGCACAGCGCACGCGCGCTCTTCGTGGGGCTGAGCGAGGGCGTGCTGCGCGTGCCGCTCGAGAGGTGCGCCGCCTACCGCAGCCAGGGGTAAGGTGGCCACTCCGGGGGCGGCTGCGGGAGAGCGGGCCCCAGCAAGGTCTCCAGGCCACTGTCTCTGATCCTTGGTCTCTGCCTCCCCAGCGATCTCGCAGGGTCTGGGGTGGGGGTGGGGGTTCCTTGGGATGGACTGAGTGCAGCACTTATGTGTGCCTGGGGGAAGCATGTGCTTAGCAGATTGTGATGGCTGTGGTCCCTGCCTTCACGTCTCTGACCCACTTGCATGGGCCCGGCCCCTGCAAAGGAGAGAGCTTTATCTTTGCAACCACAGCACTTCTTGCCCAGAGGTGAGAGCAGACGCGACATGATGCTTGGAGTCAGCTCCCAGCCTTTGCTCCTCCTCCCTCCTCTCTCAGAAGCTGCAGAGAAGGCTGGGGTGGGTGCGGTGGAGGTAAGGGACCAAGTGGAGGAGCTGCATTGTGGATTCACACATTTGCCAACAGGGACTCCAGGGTGACAGGGGAAAGCAAGGGTACACCAAGGCCAGGTGGAAATGCAGCCCGGTCTCCTGCCGCCCCAGGCCAGGCTGCACCACCTCCTTTGTGTCACTGTCAATAGCTGGCACAGCCACAGCCACTCGGGCTTCTGTGACCTTTGCACAGAGTCCCCCCCCCCACGCTCTGTGCCATCTGTCCTCCAGAGCTGGGGGACAAATGGCACTCCTGTTGCCGAGGGTCGTTCCTCGGCGCCTGCGGGCTGCACTGGGAGCTGGGCAGAGGAACCACACAAGCGTCTCAGCCCTGACTCATGGCTCCACCACTGAAACGCCCCACGTTTACAAAGCCCTGCCATTTGGGGACACTTTGTAGGGTTGCTGATGTGCAAGGAGGCAAGATGAGTGGGCCTGAAACTTCCCTCGAAGTTCGAGGTGTGTGGTGGAGGAGGGAGACCCCAGTCGATATCTGACACGGGGGGTGACAGGTGGAATTAGACCCACCTGGCTTTCGTTCAGCTACTGAGCAGGCGACTTAACCTTTCTGAGTATCTGCTGTCTCTTCCAGGAAGTGGGGTGGGAGGGACTTTGATGGAGCAAATGGTGAGCTGTTGTGAGGTTAGGACTCAGAGCGCTCGCGGAGTGCCGGATCCCCAGGTCACAGGTGGCAGCGAGTGTCTTTATTCCTGCTTTATCTCCCCAAACACATTCAGGAGCCCCCCAGCCTCCTGGGCTCTCTGGAGCCTCAGGATCTGTGACATTGAACAGACAGCAATGCTGGGCAGTGAATCACCGGCTAACTGCTGACAGCTTTCCCCATTTCTTACATTCTTCCTGAACTCTTGTGCTGTTATTAAACTTTTCCCAAACGTCTTGTTCTCCAAGAGGCTGTAAATCTTCAAAGGCAAAACCCAGCATCCCAGGATGTTTTTATGCCATCTGAGGGAGCCCCGCCCAGCCCAGGGAACAAAGAGGCCACCCCGTGAGGGATCCTTCAGTTGACAGATTATTTGACCAGAGAGGAGTTTGTGTCAGGGAGGCATGGAGAACGGGGCCAGGAAGTAGACCGAGGGCAGCCATGAATGACAAGGGAGGATTTGAACTTGAAGGCTGTGGCTGGGGGCACTGCAGCGGGCGGAGAGGGAGGGAGTGGGGTCACAGGCAGCAAGGCAAGAAGTTTCACAAAGATCAATCCGGAGTGAGCAGCACACCGCCGTGAGGATGGACACCAGGAAGAGCTAGATATGAAGTCGTGGGGTCTGCAGTGGAAGCAGAGGAAGGCGAGATGCTGTGCACGTGGGCGGCAAGGCTGCAAGGCGTGCCCATTGCTGTTCTACCCTGGAGCAAAGCGGGAAAGTTCAGTTGGGATGCTTCCGTCCAACTTGGTTTCCCAAGTTTGAGATCAGAGCCTGTGGTGCCCACAGTGATAACCCTGCCACAAAGCTGTACTTAGATCCACCCCCCCAAAAAAATGCAAGGTTCTATTATTGCTAGGTTAATGCAGTAACTGAGCAAATACATGCAGCTACCAATCAAGCACTCTAGGAGTTCGCGAGCCAACTGCCCATCTAAGGACTCTGGAATTTGCACTAGGGTGGGGCTGCTGTCACAGGGTTTCACTGTGTCCTGCGACAGTCCACTCAGCTGGCAGGAGGATGAGGGTGGGTAAGCAGAGGCCCCATCAGGTCATTACCTCTTCTGTCTATGATCCAGGGGTTTGTCTCCAAGCAGCCTTTTTCTTTCTTTATTTTTTGTTGCTGTTTTTAAACATTTATCTTATTTATTTGAAAGGCAGAATGTCAGAGAGAAAGAGAGAGAGAGAGAAATCGATATTCCAACCACTGGGTCACTTCACAGATGGCCATACAACAGCCAGGGCTGGCCCAGGCTGAAGCCAGGAGCCAGGAAGTCCATCTGGGTCCTCCTCCATGGGTGTAGGAGCCCAAGCCTGCTTTCCCATTATCAGGGAGCTGGATGGGAAGTACAGTTGCTGGGGCTCGAACCAGCACTCTGATAGAAGACTGTTACCTAGGCAGCAGCCTAACCTGCTGTGCCACAGTGCCGGCCCTCTAGCCAACTGCTTTCACGCAGGCGCACCTCAGCCCCAGGAGCATGGCTGGAGAGACCAGGGCTCATTGAGAAGGAGCCCAGAGAATGGAGGGCTGTGGGCAGGAACGTTCCCTTGCTCCTTCTCGCAGCCTTTTGCTCTGTCCCCAGGGACCCCTCTCCTCCAGCTCACTCACGGATGCCCATGCTTGTCTTGTGAGCATGAGGCCTTTATCTCTGACCGCCCTTCCTGGCTGAGGGCCTGGGCAGCCGGGAGCCTCCGCAGCCTTCAGTAATGATGACCACTCGCTCACAAGCTCCTGGACTGCCCCTTCCACCTTGGACAGCTCCCGTCGTGAGACTGCTGCTAAACGGAGCCTGCTTAGGACTTGCACATCTGTCTCTGTCCCAGCCTACAGAATGAAACCGTTCCCTTTTGTAATGGCTACTTGTGACAGCGCAGTAAAAAAGACATGGTGATATATCATCGGTCTGATGGCTCCTTTTATGAAAAGAACTCTAAACTGCCACCCACTTCTGCAGTCAGAGATGCGCTTTCAGTCTCTTCTGCTTGCAGCTTTCATTTCTTAAGAGCGTTGCCTGCTCTGTAAGCTTTAAAATGGCCTTTGGCCATAAGTGATGGATATGGCGTCTCCCGGGCCGGGGGGGCAGTGGTGGGTCCCCTTCAGCTTTCACTCGAAGACAGCTCAGGCACAGCTCCAAGGTCACCTCAGGCTTCCAGGGGCAGGGGCAGGTTCTCCATGGAGAATCCACTGTCCTGTTTCTCCTCTGGAACTGGATTGAGAGCAGGGGTGGTGGAGATGGTGAGAGGGCCTGGGCTGGGGAGTCTGGGGCCATCATCTGCCCTGCATTTTTCTTCCTCCTTCCCTGTCCCGTCATGCATTGGAAGGACGAAGCACTTCACCTCCTGGCCCCAGAACAGCAGAAGTTGTCAATCATGACTACCCGTTGGAATTATCTGGCCAGAGTATAGAAGATTGATTCCAGGGCTGAGGCCTGTTCCAGTTCACAAGGCCTGGATCCTGGGGGATGGTGGCAGGAGCAGGGGTTGTGTCTGGTTTGCTTAAACTTTTTAAAGTGAGCCGGCACTGTGGTGTAGCAGGTGAAGCTACCTCCTGCAGCACTGGCGTCCCACATGGGTCCTGGTTCAAGTCCTGGCTGCTCCACTTCCCAACCAGCTCCCTGCTGATGCACCTGGGGAGTGAACCCACATTGGAAACCCAGAAGAAGCTCCTGCCTTCTGGCTTCTGATTGGCCCAGCTCTGGCCATTGCAGCCATTTGGGGAGGGAACCAGCAGATGGAAGAGCTCCTCTCTCTCTCTCTCTCTCTCTCTCTCTCTCTCTCTCTCTCTATAGTGCTCCCTTTCAAATAACTAAATCAATCTTTGAAAAGAAAATAAACCTTTTTAAAAGAGGCCCAGGAGATTCTCACGCTCGGTCACGACTGGGAACTACTGCTCTAGAATTGGTCAAGCCCTAGATGAAAGCAGTGGCCAGAGGCAGATATCATTCCTCTGGAACCTTCTGCCATGTTCTGCCCTTAGCCATTTTCTCTGCTGGTGGACATTAGTTTTTGATAGGGAGACATTTATTTGTTGGTACTGCTAATTACTAGTCATAGCAAACTATTTTTCTAGTTAGCGCATTTGTAAAATGCCCCATCGGCTGCCTCTGCAGTTGGAGTTTGTTTGAGTGGGCTTTACAAGTTCAGTTGGCTCAATGCCCAGTCTTCTCTGCCCAGTGTCGGCAGCGAGCAGGGTCTGGAGACCACGGGTTGTGGCACTGTTTGTGCACACGTATTTGGTCTCAGGACGTCCAGTGGGACAGGGTCTGCCAACGACAGCCCCGCACATCAAACTCTCATCTCCCCGGTAAGAGCCTGGACAGTTCACACACGGACCCAGGTGAACAGAGTAGAAACAGATTTGCCAGCAGCCTCTGAGTGTTGGGGATCCTGGGGCACGCCGTGGTGCGCTCACACGCATCACCTCACCTATGCAAGGTCATGGTGGGCCCGAGGGAGGGGCAGTGCTGTGTGCTCCCGCCCCCTCCAGCATCAAGGAGAAGACTCTGCTCTGTCAAGTCTCCTTTGTTTCTGGAGCCTGAAAAACAGAGAACTCACCAGACAGGTGACTCTCCAGAAGCAGAGAGGCAGGAGGAGCTCTCTGCTGGAGACTCCAACAGTTGCAGCCTCCCAGCTCTTCTGTATGGCACCTTGGCCCGCGGACCCCTGGGAAAATCTCTGCAGACCCACCTAATGGTGGGGACTCCCCACCAGTCAGCCACACCTGCCTTGCAGCCTTAGCACCTCCTTTTCTGCTTCCTGTCTTCCAACTTCTGAGTCCCTGCCCGCGTGCTGTCTCCAGACCCCTTTCATCTGACTTGGTCAGAAGCAGGTAAAAGCGGAGAAAGGAGACAGAAGGGATCCAGGTATCCCCTGGGACTGGCAGTGGGCTCTGAGGGTGTTGGGGGGCGCCCTCCTTCTGCCTCCAGGAGCTGCTGCTCCCTTCCCTGAGCAATGGACAGCAAATCCTGGTGCCGTAATCAGCACGGAGTCTTTCTCCTCTTTGAAGCCCTAGTAGTGGACATTTGAAATTTTTTGTTAAACATGTGATACACTATATGAGTTCATCAGAAGGAGAGGAAGACAGGAGCTCTAGAATGTGAGAAGAGGAGGCTCTGAGGGCGTGTCTGGGCATGTGCCTCTTTGCTAGGCTATTGCAGAGAGACCAGCCCAGAGGTGGGGCACCTCGGACACCTGACACACAGCTGGAGCTCAGGAAGCTCAATTATTATCACACAGGGCAACTGGATGGAGAGAGCCGCCCAGAGGGGAGTGTCCAGGTGCGTGCTCGTGATGCAGGTGAGGCTGGGGAGGCAGTGGGCTTGAGTCTCAGCACTTCTGTCCGGCAGGGCGTGTCTGGGGGCGCGAGACCCATACTGTGGCTGGGACGGGAAGCAGCAACGTTGTAGCACGCTTGAAGACAGTTCCAACATGAGCCTCTGGACCCAGAACATCACAGCGTGTCCTGTGAGAACTCCTTTGTGCCCCCCACCCCCGCCTCAGGCCTCCCCGTTGCTATCCTCAAGGTCCCTGGGGGGTTCGTGCCCTCTCTGCACCTGCCTTGTGTGACCCCCCCACCGTGTGTCTCTGCAGGTGCGGAATGTGACCCGGGATGGAGGCTTTGGCCCATGGTCACCATGGCAACCATGTGAGCACTTAGATGGGGACAACTCCGGCTCTTGCCTGTGTCGGGCACGATCCTGTGACTCCCCACAACCTCGCTGTGGGGGCCTTGGCTGCCTGGGGCCAGCCATCCACATCGCCAACTGCTCCAGGTGTGTGAGGACAGGGCCTGCACGGTGTGTGCCTTGGATTGGGGTGGGGAGACCTGGGGAAGTGAGGCATCCCCGCCCACATGTTTGCACCAGGGGATGGAAACCACTTCAGGCAGTGCAGCCAGGAAGTGAAGAGGTGGCCAGTGAGCCTTGGGAGTAGGGGAGGCATCCCCACACTGGCACACTGTGGGAGAGAAGTTTCTGTCCACCTGTTGGGGCTCTTGCAGGCATGACAGTCACTCCCAGATAAAGGTTAACCTCACTGTCCCAACGTGAAGGACAGCATGGGGGCCTGGCAAGGCGGCCAGGCGCTGTGCCCATCCTGGACTCCCCCAGTCTGCGGGTGTCACCTGGACTGAGCCGCCTATCCCGAGTGTCTCTGAGGGCCACAGTACCCACCCCAGAGTGGTTGGGACAGATGAAGGGGGTATGCGCATACTCCGAGCTTGCACACTGCCTGGGGCTGTCATTAGATGGTTGTGGCAGCAGCTCACTCATAATTCTAGACAGTGACCATGGTATATATGCTTGCTGACTTAACCCTTGTGGCTGCCTCATGGGGTAGGAACACACTCATTACCCTATTTTAATGATAAAGGAAGGTTCCAGTAGCGTGTTCAGGGTTATGTGAAAAAGCTTGAATTTGAAATTGATGTCAAAGTAGACATGAATGAGCAGTGTCTGAAGTTGGAGCAAAGCAGGTGCACGGGTCAGACCAGGGAGAAAGAGAAGGTGGGTTTGGGTGCAAGGATGTCCAGCCACAAAGGTGACCATGGCCTTGGTCAGCGTGAGTAGGGGCCATGTCCCGTGTCTGTGTCGTTAGCCCTGAGTGCAGTCTGGTATGTAGAAGGAGGCTCTCATTGTGTGTTTGAGAGGCTCAGCCTGAGATGGCCTGCTTAGGAGCTGACGCTTTCTGTCGCTGCGTGGTTCAACGTGACAAGGCCACAATATGCCTCTTAGGCTAGATTCAAGCAGCTAGGACCCAGGCGCCCACTGGTCTCTGTCCCCTTGCTCCCCACTAGGAATGGGGCGTGGACGCCATGGTCATCCTGGGCGCAGTGCAGCACGTCCTGTGGCATCGGCTTCCAGGTCCGCCAGCGGAGTTGCAGCAACCCTGCCCCCCGCCACGGGGGCCGCATCTGCGTGGGCAAGAGCCGTGAGGAGCGGTGAGTGGGCCAGGGCGGGGGTCGTGCGGGCAGGCCTGCCCCAAGGCCTCCGAGCCAGCGGCCTGGCATCTCCCACGCTCTCTGGTGACCTCGTGGCAGGGGCCCCAGGCGGCGCCCGGTGACGGCTCCTCGCCCCCTCCCAGGTTCTGTAACGAACACACGCCCTGCCCGGTGCCCATCTTCTGGGCCTCGTGGGGCTCATGGAGCAAGTGCAGCAGCGACTGCGGGGGCGGCGTGCAGTCCCGGCGGCGGGCCTGCGAGAACGGCGACTCCTGCCCGGGCTGCGGCGTGGTGAGCCCCGGGAGCGGGAGGGCGCGTGAGGGCGCAGGCGGGCCAGGAGCGCGGGGCTCTGAGACCCGCCCGCTCCCACCCCGAAGGAGTTCAAGACGTGCAACCCCGACGGCTGCCCCGAGGTGCGGCGCAACACGCCCTGGACGCCCTGGCTGCCCGTGAACGTGACGCCGGGCGGGGCGCGGCAGGAGCAGCGCTTCCGCTTCACCTGCCGCGCGCCCCTGCCGGACCCTCACGGCCTGCAGCTGGGCAGGAGGAGGACGGAGACAAGAACGTGTCCCGCGGACGGCTCCGGAGCCTGCGACACGGACGGTACCGCCCCCGGAGCGATGGCGGCGGGGGCTGGGCAGGCGAGTCGGGAGGCGGGGGCCGGGGCCGGGGCCAGGGCCAGGGTGGCGGAGGCCGTCCTCGCTAAGACCGGCGCCCTCCCTCCCCAGCCCTGGTGGAGGACCTCTTGCGCAGTGGGAACGTTGGCCCGCACGCGCTGAGCGGGGGCTGGGCGCCCTGGGGCCCGTGGTCATCCTGCTCCCGGGACTGCGAGCTGGGCTTCCGCGTTCGCAAGAGGACCTGCACGAACCCCGAGCCGCGCGCTGGAGGTCTGCCGTGCGTGGGCGACGCCGCCGAGTACCAGGACTGCAACCCTCAGGCGTGCCCAGGTAACCCTGCACCCAAGGACTCTGATGGGGCGTGGGGAGACCTTGCACCTAAGAGACCCCCGTACCCCAGGGGGCCTCTCTCCCTGCCGCCTCTTACGCAGGGGCCCCCAGAGCAGCTTTGCCTTGACCCTGGACTCAGTGGCTGCTCTGCTGGAGTAGGGCCCTTCTTCCTGCCTTGTGTCACTTTCTTCTCCCCGGTAAAGGGTTAGCCAGCCGAGGAGCTGGGCATGGGCTGCAATGGCTTGGGCTCGCTCTCTCTCCCTCTCTCTCTCTTTCTGTTTATGTGTGTGCACATGAGCCTGCTGCTGCCTGCATTTCCCCTGCCACCCTGCTGTGCTGGGCTCTCCCTAACTGGCCTGTAGTGTGGGGATTGGGTGGGTGAGGTCGGTGCTAGCCAATGGGGTGACAGGAAGACTCTTGAGCCCTGCCTGCTCTTGGCACTGCCCTCACGTACTCTATCCCCTTGCAGTCCGGGGAGCCTGGTCCTGCTGGACCTCGTGGTCCCCATGCTCAGCCTCCTGTGGCGGGGGCCACTACCAGCGCACTCGCTCCTGCACCAGCCCCGCGCCCTCTCCTGGCGAGGACGTCTGTCTCGGGCTGCACACGGAAGAGGCGCTGTGTGCCACGCAGGCCTGCCCAGGTACTGGGTGCTCACAGCCCGGGGCTGGGGAGTGCACTGGGGCCCTCCTGGGGCTGGCAGCATCATCCCACCCACTACCCACAGAAGGCTGGTCGCCATGGTCCGAGTGGGGTGCGTGCGCTGAGGATGGAGCCCAGAGCCGCAGCCGGCACTGTGAGGAGCTGGCACCGGGGCCCGGTACCTGTGCTGGGAACAGCAGTCAGAGCCGCCCCTGCCCCTACGGCGAGATTCCTGGTAGGTCATCGCACCTGCTCCTTCCCACCAACCCTCTGCTTCTGAGGCTTGCATTCTGGGAGGCGCGGGCTGACACCTGGGGAGGTGGGAACACTACGAATGAACTTATATCGTTGCCTCAGTGCACACACTCAGGGTTCTGGCACTCCCCCACCCCCGCAAATGGGACAGCCTTTCTTAGAGAGGGCATCGGGGGAGACAGAGGAGACTGAAGGGCCCAGGCCCAGTCCTGCAGCTCAGCACGGGCCCAGGGCTCCTCCCAGAGATGCATGCAGCCCAGGAAGGCGATGACCTCTCTCTCTGTCCCCCCTGCCCCTCACACCCTCTCCACTTGTCTTTCTGCAGTGATCCTGCCTGCCTCCAGCATGGAGGAGGCCACCAGCTGTGCAGGTGAGAGAACCTCAGACGCTGGCATTCTACGCCTCCTCCATCTCACTCCACGGCCTGGAGTCTGCCCGTCTCCCACCCGTGCTCGCCAAGCCTTGCTGAGGGCCCCCAGCTCTGAGGCTGTGCAGGGAGAGGGGTCTGGGTCGCTGCACCCGTGCCCCCAGCCAGGATGCCGTCATCACTGTGTCTCAAGAAAGAGACCTCAAGCTGCAGTCCCGTGATGCAAGCCCCAGGGTATCCCTGGAAAAGGCTCCATGGCCTCTGGCCTCAGAGCACTTTCCTTGATGTCCCAGAATGTCCTGTTGCTGTTTCTGTCCCCAGAGAGACAGCCGGGAGTCTCTCTGCTTCATGGTGACCCTTTTCTTAGACCTGCCTCTCTTGCCCGCAGGGTTCAGTCTCATCCACCTGGTGGTCACCGGTGTCTCCTGCTTCCTGGGCTCCGGGCTCTTGACCTTGGCTGTGTACCTGTCCTGCCAGCACTGCCAACGCCAGTCCCAGGAGTCCACACTTGTCCATCCCGCCACCCCCAACCACCTGCACTACAAGGGTGGGGGCACCCCTAAGAACGAGAAGTACACACCCATGGAGTTCAAGGTGAGGGCCATCCTGCGAAGGCAGTGGGCAGGGCGAAGGGTGCACTGGCCCTGATGCTAAGCCGGGCATAACTGGACAGGGAACTTGGGAAGATGCCATGCCGAGATGCACTCTTGCTATCCTTGCCCTGTCTCTGCCCTCACGCTTGCTCTCTGTCCCTTCCTCCCCACACAGACCCTGAACAAGAATAATTTGATCCCCGATGACAGAGCCAACTTCTACCCATTGCAACAGACCAATGTGTACACAACCACCTACTACCCAAGCCCGCTGAACAAACACAGCTTCCGACCCGAAGCCTCACCTGGACAACGGTGCTTTCCCAACAGCTGATACCACCGTCCTGGGCTCTTGGGCTCCTTGCCTTCATAAGGCACAGAGCAGGTGGAAGTGGGACCATGGGGCCAGTTTGCTTTTCTCCCTCGGCACTAGACCAAGAACTTGCTGCCTTGCCCGTGGGGGTCCATCTGACTTCAGGGAGCACTGGCTGGCAGTGACCATGGGGGCGAGGGCCGGCTCAGTCCAGGTCTCTCATGGCTTCCTCGCGACCCACCATTGTGCTGACCCTTCCCCTGCCATGTCTGGGCTGCGGACCTCCTGGCATGTGAGGAATTGGAGAGTGGAGATGGCCAAAGGGCAGTCTCTTAGGTTTGGGTTGGAAATGACTTCCTGTGGCCACCGTGAGCTGAGTGTGGCCCTCCCTGGCCAGCCCTAAGAAAGGCCTGGTTATCTACATCCTGATTATCCCTGAAAGGAACTAATTCAAGGGCCCAGTAGATCTTGGATCTCTGCCCAGGGCTGGGCCATTGTGGTGCTGCCCCAGTGTGACAAAGAGGAGCAGGGCTGGTCCAGGTTGCCCACCTCTGCCTCGCAGTCCGTACTTCCCCCCAGGGACATCCCTCTGGTCAGAGGCAGTGAGGACTGGGAACTGGGGGCTGATCTTGGCTGAGAAGCCCCCTCCTTTGGGCTGGCACAGGCCATACCCTTTGCCCCCTGTGAATCCACAAAAGGTGACCAAGGAGAAAGGAAGGCTCCCGGCCGGTGGAGGCAGGGCTCTGGCCTCTGTGGCTCCCTGGAGACTGTCTTGCAGTTGCTGCTCACCGGAGTGGAAGCTGAGACCTGCCTGGGAGTCTGCTGGCCCCTCATCTGTTCAGGAACACACACACACACACACATGCACATACACATACATGTGTGTGTGCACACACGCACACAATCCCTATCTGCTACTACAGCCGAAAAGGGTGCTGGGCTGTGGCGTTAATTAAAGATGCTGTCCAGTCTCCAAATGTAACTCTGTCTTCGTGCATGTGTGTGGGCTCCTCGTGCCGTGGCCTGGTCGATCAGAGCAGTGCCCTGGGGTAACAGATGATTTCTCAAGGTGCAGGAAGTGACCCGAGTAGGGTTAGACCCTAACAGAGGGCACCCTTCCACAAGTGCGCATATGCACACACACACACACACACAGATACTGCCTGAAGCCCTCTGTGGCAAAGAGCTTGGGGATAGATACCTCAAGTGTCCCAAGTGGGGACACAGGTACACCAAGGGCAGCACAGCTGGACATCTCTGCCCACCCGCTTAGCAGCTCCTCCAGGCGACAGCTACAGGCTGGGAATGTGTGAATCCAGCAGTGCAGTCGTGATGAGGGTTCACGTTGAGGATATTGAAACTAAAACTGAGAAATGAGTAACCCTGGGAGGTGGGGGGAGCCTAATGGAGTTTTTGCTGGATTCGGTATGATGACACCCTCACAGCCCCGACCCACCAAATCCATGCTGCCGATTTGGAGAGGTTGACGGACATGTTCTATTTAGGGAGCAATTGCTGGCTTAATTGGCTGGAGGCGTGGTCCCAGGAGTGCCTGTGGGATCTGACTGTAGGTCAGGTGGTGAAGCTTGCGATCCGTGTGGGAGAGCAGGAGTGTTTAAAGCGTGAAGGCACCTGGAAGGCAAGACCCCAAGGTCCCGAGCATTCTCGGGCTCCTTGCTGCTGGCCCAGAGCAAGTGAGGTGTCTCGGGCCAAGGTGGAGCCCGTCAGAGCTCAGGGAGGGAGTGCGTGTGCAGGGGAGGCTCCTGACCGGCCCCTGCCAGCCTCCTGAGTCCATCGTGAGGGCCTGCAGGACATTTTAGATCCTGGAGTCTCCGATCCCCTTGGACATACATGGTGCAGCCCTTAAGTTCGAGAGCATTCCAGGGCCCAGGGTGTCTGCTTCAGAAGGGCCACTCCTGGTATGTCCAGTGGAGGGACTGGACCCGTCTGTAGGAAGTGGTCATGGAGAGCGCCCCCTGTTGGCTGGAATGTTGTCAACAGGCATGTACACCTTTGGGTGAGGTGGCCATGCACACACACACATGCACACACACACACACACACATTGAATTCTCATTGCTGAAAAGGTGCACTCCGAGTGCTGGGGCTCTACACAGCAGGTGTCTGAGCTGGCCTGATTGAGCAAGGCTGTACAGCAGCCAGCCAGGAACCCGAGCATCTTCTGGCCAAGGCGGAATAGAGGTAGGGGACCCCAGGATGTGCTCCCTGGCTTTAGGGCATGGTGCTCTCTGGCCAGTGTCAGCCACTTGTGATGTGAGAGGCAGGGAGGCTGCCTGCTCCAGATGGAGCAGTGGGAGTGCCAGACCTTCTTGGGTTCTTTAGTATTTAAATAACTGTGTGTGTGCATTTTCTCATCAAAGCCATACATGTTGATTGCAGCAAATCCAGAGGGCACAAAAGCTATATGAAAATGCAGTCACAGTTGAACTAAAAGCCCAAGGCAGACTTAGGGATTTTTTCAATGATGATGTGAAGACTTATCTTCCCCTTTCTCTCAAAGTCACCTAAAAGCAACTAGAAATAAGAAATGGAAGTTCTGCCACTATTTTCAACAAAACTAGGATGTATCCCAAATCCCGATACACTTGTCCCTCAGTATGCATGGGGCTTTGGGCCCATGATCCCCTACCCCTGAGAATACCCAAATCCAGAGCCCAAGGCCCTGCTATAAAATGGCATGGTGTTTGCACAGAAGCTGTGCACATCCTCCTGGGTACTTTATGTCATCTCTCGATTACTTACACCCAACGCAAAGTCAGTGCTATGTAGGTAGTTGATACTTGGTGATGTTGAGGGAGAGATGACAAGAGAACTCTGTACATGTTCAGTATGGATGCGGGATCTTTCCCCAAGTATTTTTGACCCAAGGTTGGTTAAACCTGGGGATTTGGAACCCATGGATATGGCAGGGCTGGCTGTGGATGAAGACAGGAAGCAGAGTAAAGCAGTCCCCTGGCCCAGGGCGTATGGGTCCAGACTAAGCCCCCAAGCGACGCCCGAAAGAATCAGCAATTGGAGGAACCAGGCGGAAGGTGGGGGCTAGAAAGGGATGGCTTGGTCAGAGAACTGTGTTAAGGGCTGCTAGACCTCGGAGTCCCGGTCCTTATTCTCTCTCCAGAGAGGCAGTAAGGGCGCCCCCTTGAGGCGGCTGAGGGACAGAGTAGATTGTCCGTGGGATTCGGCCAATGCCTTTTCCAGCTAACTCTAAGGCTAGCAGCAAGGTTTGCTCTCTCCTCCTCTCCCTCCAGGCAGGAGATTGGCAGGGGGCCGGGAGGGTTCTTTGAAGACTTCTTGGAAGAAACAAGCCAACCCCACAGATGGTGCAGTGGGCCAGCTGGTCATCGGTACCACAGCCCCACAGCACAGGACACTGAGTTGCAAGTTGGGCTCTGCACACAGAGCTGACAGCTGGGTTTTCATGCGTCAGGCTAAGATGTGAGGGGCAGATAAGGGTGGCAGGTGCCGGAGAAGAAGGTCTAATGTGAGAGCCTGAAACCAGAAATCAATGACTACAGAGATGGTATTCTGCAGGAGTAAGGGCATCTATGAACCAAGAACAGAGTGTGATTTCTTATAAAAAAGGACAAATTAAAGCTCACAGCTGTTTAAAAAATACGACAGAAGGAAAAACTAGTAAAGGGGTTGAAAGATAAAGGGATTTCCCAGAAAGTTGAACAAAAAGAGAGAGCAGTGGAACATAGAAAGGGAAAGATAAATTCGGAGGTTTTAATCCAGGAAGTCTAACAGCTCATGAGTGAGCTCAGGAGAGGAAGTCATCGAAGGAAGAATACTTGAGAAAGTTGAGTGGACCCGAATGGTGGGTCTCCATGGATAAGGTGCACCTAGTACCAGGAATGAAAGAGATCTACTGTGGGGCATTGTTGTGAACACAGCCTTGCAAAACTGCAAACTCAGGAAGAGTCCAACATCAGACAAGACTGGAAGTGTGAGTGCTCCAAGGCTGCTTACTAAGAACACATGAAGCTAGGATACAGTGGGAATTATCCTCAAAAATTCCAGGGTACAAAATGATATTTAGTCGTGAGGGGTGGGAGATGGGAAGAGATGGTGCTCCAATCTGCTGGCTTACTTCCGGAATGCCTGCAACAGCCAGGGCTGCGGTGGGCCCAAGCCAGGAGCTAGGAACTCAATCTAGGCCTCCCCTGTGGGTGGCAGGGACAGTCACTGGAGTCATCACCATTGCTGCTTTCCAGTGTCCACATTAGCGGGAAGCTGGGGTCAGGAGCATGAGCTGGGTATGGCGCCCAGGGACTCCAATATGGGATGGGGGTGGGGGTGGGGCCCTAACTGGCACCTTAATCGCTAGGCCAGACACCCACCCTGAGTTGTGAATCCTATACCCAGCCAGCCTGTGAGTCCTACGAGGGTAGAACAGACATTTTTAACATGCAGGGTCTCAAAGAATGTATCTCACTTGTGCCTTGTTTCGCTAGAACAAGGGAGGAGACACAGGATGTGAACTCCAGGAGAAAGGGGAGCTGGCATAGAAAGGGTGGTAGCAGGGGACGCGAGCACCCGTGGGATCTGGGAGAGTGGAACTGCTGGGTGATGGCTCAGGTTTGTGTGGAACGCTGTATGAAAATTTATTTCACAAAACTTGGGTTTTTATGCATTCAAAGAAAACTATGCAAATAAAAAGGAGGCATTATTTTTGTTGTTGCATGAGTTATTTAAAGTTTCTTTTTCTGTAAGGAAAAAAAAACCACAGATACAGAAAACCCTCACACAACAAAAGAATAGCTGATGAGCGCAAACATCTTGTAAGTTCGACTTAGGTCAAGAAATAGAATTTTGACCTCCACCCAGAATCCCTTTCTTCCTCCCATTCCTATCACATCACCCTTAATTATCAGCATTAGGAAAAACAAAAGACTTACGGAGCAAATGTAGATAATTATAGTAATTTCACCAATGAACATGGATTTAATCATGTTTAAATATGTAACCATATTAAATATTTCTATCACAACTTTTTTAAAAAACGGAGAGAGAGAGAGAGAGAGAGAGAGAGAGAGCTCCCATTTGCTGTTCACTCCCCAAATGGCTACAAGGGCCAGTCTAAAGCCAGGAGCCAGGAACTCCATCTGGGTCTCCCATGTGGGTGGCAGGGGCCCAAGTATTAGGTCCATCATCAGTGGCATTCCCAGGTACATTAGCAGGAAGCTGGATTAGAAGTAGAGTACCTGGGACTGGAACTGCACTCTGATGTGGTATGCCAGCATTGCAGGCAGAGGCTTAACATGCTAGACAACACTGCTGCCCCCACACACTTTATTTTAACCCTAAAAAATGTATTTATTTGAAAGGGAGAGAGAAGGAGACACACACACACACACACACACACACACACAGAGAGAGAGAGAGAGAGAGAGAGAGAGAGAGATTTCTTATTTGCTGGTTCATTCTCCAGATGCCTGTAACAGCAGAGGTTGGACTCAGTTGGGTCTCCCATGCAGGTGCAGGAACCCAAGTACTTGAGCCATCGCCTGCTGCCTCCGCAGGTGTACATTAGCAGGAAGTGGATGGGAAACAGCCAGGAACTTGAACCCAGGGACTGCAGCAACATGGGATGTGGGTGTCTTCGTCTTAACCATTATGTCACATGCTCGCCCCATCATAACTTTTTATCATAGGAACACCAGAGGGACAAGCCTCTGAGCTTTTGGTGCCAACTGAGTGTTAGACTGAGTATTGAAAAGAAGGAATAAAAACATTAAAAATATTTTGTACTGATGATAGCCATGACACATGCTCATGAAAGAAATTTTGGAAAATAAAAACAAAAGAGTATACAAATGCCCTAATAGCTGAGAGACAAAAATTTTTTTTCTTAAGATTTATTTATTGATTTATTTATTTGAAAGAGTTGACAGAGGGAGAGGAAGAGAGAGAGAGAGAGAGAGAGACCTTCATCCACTGATTCACTCCCCCAAATGCCTG